GTCCATTCTCGCAGCCACAGAGCGAGGTAGCCGAGAGGCCAGATCAGTGTTCACTCTGCCCTCCCGCGTCACCAGGGCTGGCCGACGAAGCGGAATAACTAGAACGAACGCGAAAAGGAACGCGATACGTCGCGTTACAAGAAAGAGTGAGAAATGAAGAACCGTGGGATGGCATACTCACTCGATTCGATTCGTTTGGACACAATTCATTTTCGAAACCACATACAAGGAATATCGGGCGGGGCATGGCTGATGCACGCACGCTTGCGGGCCAGCGAGGTTCACAAAAGAACGGAAGATCTGCCAGCACCAGATGTTTTGAATGAGTTAACGAAACTGTGCTGCTAACCACGTTTAGGTTTTTTTTGATTTCATGCCCACGATTGATCGCGATGAGCGATTGAAAGAGTAAAAATATCATTTCGCTCATCAAAAGCTCATTAATTATAATTTAGAATTATCTTTTCGTGAAATTTGAATCGCGTTGAGGGACACGGCTGACAGGTTGCGTGCCTTACACCACGATCTCTATATCACTGTTAACCGCGATTATAGAGATAATCTATTTATCCAGTTAGGATATAGAGATCAGTGACTCATACCCGTTCGCCATTCTCCGGATTGACAATCTCTGCGATTTTGACAAAGCAGATTGAGCATTGAGCACTATGTGCGTTTTTAAGTCCCCTTCACAATGGGCCAGTAACGATTCGTAAAATGCATTCAAACGCGGAAAATTTCGTTTTCAATATTATTTTCCGTTTAGGGTCCGCTCAGTACGAATTCGTTTATGATGTTATATTATGATTTTATCCCATTTTGAAATTATGACTACTATATCATCATCATTATTATTATTAATTATTATTATTAATTATTATTAATATTATTATTAATTATTATTATTATTATTATTATTATTATTATTATTATATTACATTGTCATTGTGAGGATGATCATCGTCTGAAGCATACTTAGTACTTACTCCGTTGATAGCTCGTTGCGGCTTTCTTGTATAAACGACCAGTTAAGGATGATTAGATCTCAGCTCTTGGTGCAGCCATACAAGCTCGAATATGTCAACGAAGCCTGAAGCGAACCTTCTGAACGGGCCTAGGATTCTCGTCATGGTGTGTACATGGACTTTGTCGAAATTCGGGTCGGCGCCACAGCGATACGAGGAGGAATGCTCCAGAATGCAGCTAGCTTGGGCCACAGGCTGCTGCTATGAGAAATGTGTATTATCGTGGCGCTAGCAGCCTTTAAGAAATATACCTACATTTTGGGGTTCAGGGGGTAGCGATACAAGGTTGCATTATCAATCTCGATGTTTAACGATTGTCATCCTATATTAGTACTTGGGAGAAAAATCGTTGGATTTTCTTATCGCGCTGCAAAATAACTGAATATTAGCGGGAAAACATATTGGAATGGAATTGTTAAAGCCAATAGACTAAGTTACGCGTGAGAATTTAATCTGTCTGTAAATGTCTTATTGCGTGCCTTCTCTCACCAAGTCATAGATCAGGCGTCAATTATTCGAGATGTTCAAGATTGGAAAACGAGATGCCGCTTAGAGCCTTAGCGAGCGTTTCTAACGATGGCCCCGTCATCAAAAAGATCATATACTTAGTCGTTACTAATTAGAAAATGTCATTACTTATACACGACAATTCACAAAAAATTGTGACATCTTTGACTTTTGATATCACCTCTACTTGTTATGTTTCTGACTTCAATGACCCTCAGGTGCAGTAAAAAACCGCACTGCGAGGATTCATTTGTTCGCTGTCCCTGTGACATTTCAGCAAGAACAGACCACATCAGGCATTGCATTTAGCGATGAAACAAACTCGTCAATACTGTTGTAGTTAATTAGCATTCGGATGCGGAGCACCAGTCTTTTCCACGCACGTGGCATACAATATAACAATGTCTTAAGGCGTTACATCGCTTTTTAATGCAGCCTGGTGCAGCAGTTTATTTACACCGCCCGTCCCTCTCTCTCTCTCTCTTCTTCCCCTGTTGTATATCTCCTATCTGTTACTATCTATTCTATTACATCTACACCATCCATCCATCCATCCATACATCCATCATCCATTCATCTATCTATGCTATCTATCTTTTCGCTCCCACCCTATCTCTCCTCCTCTCTCGTTCTCTCTCTCTCTTTCTCTCTCTCTCTCCTCTTTCTCTCTCTTCTCGCCTCTCTCTACTCCTCTCTCTCTCTCTCTCTCTTCTCCCTCCTCTCCTCTCTTCTCTCTCCTCTGGGAATCTTTCTTCTCTCTCTCTTCCTCTCTCTCTTTCCTCTCTCTCTCTCTCTCTCTCTCTCTCTCTCTCTCTCTCTCTCTCTCTCTCTGGGAATCTCTCTCATAATATTACATTATACTAAAACATCTATCGATATCTGGATAATTATAAATTTCTTTTTAAAATAAATTTCATACATATACCCTGAAATTTAATTATTTACCATTTCATTAGTTCATGAATTTAATATTTTCATTTCAACCATATTATCTCATCATACTCAACTTAAAATACAAATGACTAATAAAGAGATAGAGTAAAGATCCTGCGTATTCTCGAACGGAGAGTTGATGACAGGGAGGATATGAAGAGGAAGAGGAGAGAGGAGATGAGGAGAGAGAGAGGATTTGTGGTGGGGATAGCGAAAGATAGATAGATTTTAGATAGATGGAATGGATGATGGATTGAGTCATGATGGATGGAATGGATGGAATGGATGTATAGATGTATAGGATAGATGTAGACAGATGGGAGGATTACCAACGGGGTTAGAAGAAGAGAGAAGAGAGGAGGGGACGGGCGGGTGTAAAACTAACTGGTCTGGGCAAAAGGGGCTGCAAATTCAGCGAAGTTAACGCTTTAGGACACTTGCTTAAATTTGTTTTTTGCCACGTGGGGTATTGGCCTGGTGCTCGCCTTATTTTCGCAACATCTTATACGCTATCTCTGACGCCAGTTCAACAATTGGCGGCGTTGTTTCAATCGCGTAAACACATTTTTTGCCACATTGCCTGTGGTTGTGGGCCCACATCTGGTTTCCTTTGCTTGAACAAATGTCACAGCGCGAATGCCTCCTCAAGTTGCGGTTTACTGCACCCATTGGTGGTAATTGTAAGCCTAAGTAAAGATTACAGATAATATAGTATACTATATCTCTCAATCTCTCTCTAGAGAGAGAGAGATTGAGAGAGAGAGAGAGAGATTGAGAGAGAGAGAGAGAGAGAGAGAGAGAGAGAGAGAGAGAGAGCGCGCGCGCGAGCGATGGATGTATGGATGTATAGATCGATAGATAGACAGACAGATAGATAGACAGATAGGAGATAGACACAACGGGGAAGAAGAGAGAGAGGGGGGACGGGTGGTGTATAGAAACCGCTGGCACAGGCTGCATTAAGCGATGTACGCTTAATATAAGGGCTTTGTATACGCTTAATAACAGCTCTGTATAAGCTCATATTAATAATGTATATATTATGTAATTATATATATATCATCAAGAGTGCATAATAGAGCACTCTCTATTATGCACTCTTGATATAATGTAATGTATATGTAATGTATAATATAATGTATGTGATATAATATAATATATTATGAGTATAATATAATGTATGTAATGTATAATATAATGTAATTAATTATATTAAAATTATATTAATAATAATATACGCTTAATATAAGGGTATTGTTATATTGTATTGCCACGTGCGTGGAAAAAATGGTGCTCGCATCGATCTAATAACTACAGACAGTTATTGACGAGTTGTTTATCGCGTAAATGCAATGCCAGTGTTGATCTGTTCTTGCTGAAATGTCACAGACAGCTAACAAATGAATCTTCCAGTGCGGTTTACTGCACCTGAGGGTCATTGTCAGAAACATAACAAGTAGAGATGATATCAAAAGTCTAAGCTGTCTCAATTTCTTATGTGAATTGTAGTGTATAAGTAATGACATTTTCTAATTAGTCACGACTACGTATATAATCTTTCTGATGACGGGGCCATCGTCAGGAACGCTCTAGGCGCATATCGTTTTCCAATCTTGCGCTCGAATAATTGACGCCTTGACCTATGACTGTGAGAGACGGCACGGAAATAAAGACATCTACAGACAGATTGAATTCTCACGCGTACTATTGATTTACAATTCCATTCAATATGTTTCCGTAAATTCAGTCATTTTTGCACCGATAAGAAAAATCACAACGATTTTCTCCCATATAATACATGGAAATGATTACAGGAATGATAATCGTTATAACCGAATCGTTATATACCCCATTAACCCCCAAAATGTTAGGTATATTTCTTAAGGCTGCTAGCCACGATAATACACATTTCTCATCGCAGCTGCTAAGCCTGTGGCCCAGCTAGCTGCATTCTGGAACATTCCCCTCGTATCCTGGGTGGCGGCCGACCCAGAATTTGGCGACAAAGTCATGTAACAGCACCATGACGAGAACCCTAGGCCAGTTCAGAAAGGTCGGCTTAAGCTTCGTTGACATATTGGAGTTTTATGGCTGGCAAAGAGCTGGAATCCTATCATCTAACTGGTCGTTATACAAGAAAGCCGCACGAGCTATCAACGATGGTAAGTACTAAGTAGCTATCAGACGATGATCATCCTCACAATGACAATGTAATATAATAATAATAATAATAATAATAATAATAATAATAATAATAATAATAATAATAAATAATAAATAATAATAATAATGATAATGATGATGATATAATAGTCATAATTTCAAAATGGGATAAAATTATATATAATATAACAATCGGTTACTGACGGACCTACGGAAAATATATTGAAAAATAACTTTTCCGCGTTTGAATGCATTTTACGAATCGTTACTGCCCATTGTGAAGGGAACTTAAAAACGCACATAGTGCTCAGTTACGTAAGTTAATAATATAATAATTGTCGCTACGTATCGTATTTACAATAGTCCACACTTATCGCAGTCGCGCGCTACTACTATTTTCGTCAGTTTTCGAGAATTACAACATCACTGTTCCATTCTCCGCCTCGTACGCCAACGTCAATCAATAACACTCTCACCAAGTTGAAGACGCTCACACGAAGTAAGTGTCCACGCTGTTCGGACCCCATAGTATGCAGCCTGTGATATCGTATACGCTATAGTCTATACTACATATAGTTAAAATATGAGATAGTGGGGCTGAACGTAGAGATAAATAATTATGTTTATGTATAATATTAGCTCAAAGAAAGGTCATGTATTAAAGAGATTGTTGTGTAGAGATGATCAAACCAGCTTCATGGAGCTCGTATAATACATGCTGCTGGACCATCTTCGCGTTTCAATCTCACATAAATAGTGTTCAGGCAAACATGAGTTATCCGTCGTTAACGAACGCAAACGACATCGCATCAGTCCACCCGACAACCAGACAACGAACTGATACTCGCATCAACGCAAGACGCCGTCAACTTGACATTCAATTTATCATATTCTAGTCATCCTGCTTGTAATGCCGGCGACGGACCGTCGCGATATCATGATGCACGCGTACTTGACGCATGACTTGATACTTGACGCATACATGACGAAAGGCGACTACGTTTTCTTCATCATAGACATGGTACCGAATGATGACGTTATCGGCTCGGCGCAGACGTGGTGGGGTACAGACAACCGCAACGAGGAAGCGAGGCAGGCGTTCGAATCCGTATTTCGCGTAAGCTAAAGTTAACAAAGTTACCCTTTCCACGCGATGCCGAGTCAACTAGTTGTATTGATTAAAGAAGAAAAACATCGATGAATTCGCACCGTAACCGCCTCGGTTACGGTGCGAATTCATCGATGTTTTTCTTCTTTGATGTTTTTCATCAAATGTATCGATCATGTATCAAATTCATCGATGTTTTTCAACTACATCAAATGGTAGTTGGAAATGTTTCCCAACAGAATGCCAGGTTAGTAGAGAAGAACGATTTTGTGTAGTCACACGTTCTTCTTCTTCCCGCTCATATACCATTCCCGGTTGTTTTCCCGCAGCCATCCTTTAAGCGTTAGGGCTTTCAGCCTGGCCGTTTCTCCACAAACAATGGTTTCAACCCCGCGCCGGATTATCCTCTAAATTCATCAATAATTCATAATTATCATCATTAATTAATAATTATTAATTCATCATGATCATTTATCCCGGTATAGATGTCCATGTGGCACACAAGCAGTACGTTGTTTATGTGCACGTCCTGTGCTTTCAGTATACACCCGGCTACGATTATGTCTCTGCCTGCATGCCGCAATTAATGTATCAAAGCGATCAAATACATCGATATTCTCTTCAGATGCATTAACATATGAACGTTCCAATACTTTTCCTCACAGATCAGTCTCGCTGCCCTGACTGAAACACAGGTCAACCAGTTCAGAGTAGAAGTGGCTATGCGCATGCGCCGTTCACCGTAGAAGGACTACATGTCAGAACTCTGGATGGATAACATGGTAACACACGCGGGGATGCTTGGAGTGCGGCGTAGAATGTTTTTTCGTTCGTGGGAGGTGACATGACCGTGAATAAATGCCCACGTCAAGCAAAAGCTATAATTGGATTTTATGGTCGGGACTCTGGATGGATATGTTGGTAACACATGCTGAGTACAAGCGTGTATTAGAATCTCAAAAGGACATTTAGTAAAGAGTACGTGATGTAATAATAACCCCATTTTCGAAGCTTCGGTATTAAAAATTTTTGTTGCCGGCATTGATATCTATCCTCGGATCAAAATACTAGCACAGAGTCATTATGCGTCTCCCTAATAGATTGAGAGTGCAGTTCAGAGAAATAAAAAATAAAACATGAGTCTGTAGCCTTGATATGAACCCCCATTTTAGATTGAAATTAAGCGAGTGTTTTGACATTTTAGGGAGACAAGTACTCACCTTTCTTACACGATGCGGTTACACTCTACGCACTGTCACTGAACAAGACATTATATCAGGGGGCATACTACAGAAACGGCACTCTCATTCTTGAGAATGCCAAGCACATATATTTCAAAGGTAATGTATGTGGTGCCAGTTTTAACTGATGAATGTCAAGCTTAACAAACTAAACATTTTGTTCTGCAATCACCGCGTGCAAAAATGCAATTACGCGAATCAGAGTAAAGTTTGATAAAATACTTTATGATTTGATGCTTGAATGCGCAGGAATTTCCGGCGACGTGTTGATCAATGACAACGGGGATCGCCTACTTGATTATTGAATCACTGATATGTCACCAGATGGCGTCTTTGTCAAAATCGCAGAGATTGTCAATTCGGAAAATGGCGAACGGGTATAAGCCACTGATCTCTATATCCTAACTGGATAATAGATTATACTCTATAATCCGGTTAGTATATAGAGATCGGTGGTGTAAGCACGCAACTGTCAGCGTGTCCTCACGCGATTCAAATTTCACGAAAGATAATTGCTAAATTATAATTAATGAGCTTTTGATGAGCGAATGATATTTTTACATCTTCAATCGCTCATCGATCAAATCGTGCATGAAATCGAAACCTCAAACGTGTAGCATCACAGTTTCGTTAACTCATCTCAAAACATCTGGTGCTGCAGATCTTCCGGTTCCTCGGTGAACCTCGCTGGCCCGGTTCCCGCTCCCTTCAATCAGCATGCCCCGCCCGATATCCCTGTATGTGGTTTCGAAAATGAATTGTGTCCCGACGAATCGGGTGAGTATGTCCAATAGATATATATTTTTTACTCATATCGTTATCTCTCCTCCTCTCTCTTTCACTTCTCTTTTCCTTTCTCTCTCTCTCTCTCTGTCTCTCTCT